TTAGTAATTCACAATCGCTTGTGACGCAGTAATGACGCAAAGTTCCAAATCGCGGACTGAGCGTTATCAGTACGGCGACCCTCATGGATCAAGTTTAGCATACTGGTTTTGAAACTCACTCTTTGAAAATGTTCCCAAAGGGCAAAAGGGAAATAAATAATTTCCTTCAGATAGTGACACAGCGCTAATTCTCAACATAAATTTAGCCGCTACATAACCCCGAGCTTGGATGACCGTTACAAATACACATATGGGTGGGACGAAGGGGGGAAGACCGCCTTTTTCGCTGTAGAAGCAGAGCGTGTGGGTTAAGACATGTGCCAGCATTACCCGTGTTTTATGGTTCCTTTGGTTCACAATGTAGTGTTGTGAAAAAGGCATTGTCAGAAAATGACACCGATTTTGTAGAAATTACCGCCTCTCTTTCACTGACGTAGCTGAAGCTCTGAGTTTTCACGTAACATCTTCAAGAACATAGGAAGAAAAAGAACAATCAGCCTAGAATCTTGGTGGCCAAAGTATCGACAACTCGTGTGGCCAAAAGTAGGGATGAGAAAACAGAGAAAGTGGCTGGCCCACAAGTTATGTAACCAGCGGTTGTAGTAACTGCCACGGCGCACAAATGAAAATTGCCAAATGGCCACGTAGTATTTGGTATGTCATCAATGTGCTATAGTTTTAACCAGGACGTCGATGGTATTTAAGAAGCAGGCTACAGACGTCGGACAACGCAATCCGAATCGAGAAAAAGAAATGACGTCTGCGTGGCAGTAACGAAGTGTTAACTCCCTAATGAAGAAGCAACGTCCGCTAGTATAAAGACGGATCTAAAAACATTTTTTGTTTCTGCTTTAGTGCTCTTGTTGTTGGCTGTTATGAGCAATGTTTTTACGACTGTTCGCACACAAAATACGCAAGCTCCTGCCTTTTAATCGTAATGTTTGGTTCTATTTGTATGATCCACCACCGGAACAGGTCTTTGTATATTTGAGCAGAATATTATACAGAATCCACTGAGATACGAAGATAATTCCTATTCCTGAGCTGGAAGTGGCGGGAAAGGAGACTGTTGTGTCTAATTCAGGCATTTATGTGGAGAGGCTGAGGCAAAGCGTGATAAAATCGGATACATCCGGGACGCTGCATTTTAAAAAAAAAGTATCATAGATTACAGATGACAAAGTACCACCTGTAGTAATTGTCCTGAGTTACTCACGTGCCATTAGCATGGCCACACCTACGTAGCATTTTCAATAATTTCACATGCACATTTAATTCGGACAGTGAAAACAGGAAGCGATTTGCCGCATGCATTGACTGTCTTCAGAAATCGACCCAGGCGTGTCGCGAGTAAGAGCCAAACACGCACACATATCGAAGATTCGTTGAAAAAAATGACGTCGGCGAAATGGCATGGGAATTCCATAGAAAATATGTCAATAAGAATGCCTATCCAGACACGAGCCTCCAGCCTGGTTTCCGCAAAGAACCCCAAGGCACGAGGCGATAAATTGACGAATTGTTTGTTCAACTCCATTAGCTGCGTAGGACACGATGGAATTTCTTAAACATCTGCGTAACTATCAACTAATCAAAAGGAGGATCCTGTATGATTGAGGAACCATATTTCTTGTGCGTTAAGCCACGTCTGCATTGTTTGTTAATATTAACTGAGTGACTAACACACTTCCACCGTCTTTATAAGTGGTTTTTACCTTTGTATACAACGTTATCTAATTTATAAATAAAAGTTACATAATGTTTATCTTCTAGACTGTATGCGTCTAAACACAGCACTGCAGGGCCAGTTGGTTTCTGAATATTAAGCGTCCTTTCATATCACGATCCATTATCGGCGTTCCTTTTACGTATGACGCTAAATAACCTTGCAGAGAGACATGGTCTATTCAGCCTGCTGTACTCACGTAAGCATGAGGCTGTCTGCAGAGTTCAGGACGTGGAAGCACTGACCTGGAAACATTTGCTGTCAACAGCCTCACCGCATCGCGCTCAAGGGCAGACAGTCTCAGGTCCAAAAATTAAGACAGGTTTGCAGCCGGGTTCACGCCGTCTCGTCCAAGTTCTACGGGAACTAAGTACAACATGTCGATTGTGGACTTCTGGGTTGCGACACCGTGTAGTCCTATAGGCGGTTTCGGAGGGTCGTACATCTTCCACCGTCGAAGTCAGATGAACCACGTAGAAGATTACAACGGCGTCAGAACCCGGGAAAGTCAAACTTCGCAAACTACGTTACTTCAAACTGGGTCTCAGATTCTAAGCTGTCGTTCAAAATGATTTTTCGTGATTAATCGGTGGGCATACATCCTCCACGCGAGTGTGAAATATTGATGTTTATTTGGAACGAGGCTGAGGACGCATGGCCTGTGCTTAAAAAGCACCGAGTGGAACTATGCTTCTACCTTTTCAGTTGAGTGTCGTATGCCGGATTTCACCAAATTCGACAAAGTGGCTCAGGATTTAAAATATGTGACACAAGGACACACATACGGCAAAGTTGTAAACTGAAGTTGGAGCCCATAAAATTTTGTTCGTTTTGCGTAAGCAGCGTCTAGATTGATTGAATAAAACAGAACTGCATACAAACGTACAAAACGAAGCAGTTTCTACGAAAGCTGGCGCTGTTTCTGAACGGTACATCATTTGGTGAGATTTCAGGGTCTCACGGCGATGAGTGTGAAGTTGACTTGTCTTCTGGGATGTTGCGCCGTGCAGTCTGATAGAAGTTTACCGACGTTTCAGATATGCTTGCTGCATCCATCATCAGGGCGATCACGGTTCTGTTCCCAACTGTTGTTCCCACTGCTACAAGATAACTTCTTGCTAATCTGAGAAGTCCGTCTGCATGAAATCGATGTTTATGTTTGTTGCCAGGCAACGCATTCGTGCCATGCTCACGATGGTAGCATTCACACAAAGGCCAGCTCCATTTCACAGATTTCTATCAGTGGAAATGCAACTCCAGGTTTCCGCTGACGGAAATGATCATCAGTGTGTGAATTTCACTATTCTGTATCAGCCATGTCTAGATCCTCTCGAGATCTCTTACACAGCCAGACACTCGCTTTCCCATATTCCGAAATTACAATTCGGAAAGGAGAACGTGGCTTTTTGCATATAGTAAGATCAATATTGCACGAAAAAACTGGGCTGAAACAAATGATAACGCCATCTGCAACCGGAGAGGAAACAGACTAGTTCTCAATCCCATTCCCTGGTTATTCCCCGGAAGTTCATCGCCGTCACTAAAAAAGTTTTCACAGGTCACTGTCCTGGACAAGTCCAATTCAACATCAGTTTCTGAAAGACATTTTCAATAATATCGCTCTGTCTACATCTGTCTCCGAAGTTGTCTTTCTCAAGGAACCACACTAATCATTGGTGTCACTTGCGTGCGTTACATGTTTCTGCAACAAAATGTAGGCTTACTGATGTATAAAGAGTAAAATGATCCTCGGCTGCTAAGCTCATAGTTTTTATGAACAATAAAATTAGCCGTTTAGTTTAAACAAATCATACAAAATAAAACAAACAAACATGTACATGCAGGTCAGATACGAGGCTCTCGGTTCAGGGATATATCACTGCCGTGAAGTCTGGCATTTCAGAGAAGCTTACTGTTTCCAGAGGATCTCACCGCCTTCATCATCAGGATAATTCACATATAACTTTAACACGCTGAACACTCGATACGAGTCAGTGAGTATTCCCATCCAGCCTTCACTTGGTATTACAAGCGAATTACAAAGGCCCGGCTTCTCTTTTAGCCGAGCGCTACTGCCATCAGATCTCGATGCGTGGAAAACATCTGACAACAAACGTCAAGTTATCTAAGAATGCAAGGCTATGTAACCCTTACATTTCACTTAACTGAGTTAGTTAACACCTTTTATTAGTACTGTTCGGGGACGCGGCGCGCACAGAGCAATCGACCAGTTGGGCGACACCAGATCCTGGCACGCATCCGGACGTCAAAAACTAGGACATGTCCGGGGAGCGCAGTCTGGGTAAAGCTTGAACCAATTGTAACGATGAAATTTCCACAGAGCACTAAAGAAAAAATGTCACTATTTGTGATTAAAACAACACTAAAAGTTTCTCCGAAACGTTGGCACCTACCGACCAGTCCACACGGCGCCAAATCCAAGACGAACGTAATCATTATCGCCACCGCCATGAAAACCTCACATAAAAATGCTGTATGACGAGATGGAAACAGCTGTGAAGATTAGCAACGATCGCTATGTGAGATTTCAGGTTATCATGGCGGCGAGTATAATGATGGCTGTCTTCGGGGATGTTGTACCGTGTTGTCTGCTTGAAACTGGTCGACATTTTAGAGATGTTTATTGCCTCCGTGACCACGAAGTTGAGTGACTAAAATAATGAATTGGAACAGGTGATAATTCCTATTCTACAAAAGGTAGAAAAGGAGAACTCTTCCATAGAGTTAGTTATAATAATTTTTGTACAAGTTTGGCAACTTCTCCGGCATGATAGTGAGACTGGTACTCGAAATAGAACCTTTCACACGTTCTGTGTCAGTGCGTACAGCAATCCAACCTACTTTCATTCAACGGTCCTTTTAACAGTAGGGCGCACTTCTGTCTACACAAGCCTCTAACAAAAGTGTGGCATGAAACAATAGGCCACAATGAATCATGAGTGTGCATGAGTTATCTGGCTTAAACAGCTGTGGGTGGAATTATTTTACTGTAAGTCAGGTGAATGCACTGTGGCAGGGGTCGGCAACCTTTTCTATACAGCTGATCGCATTGGCTATTCATATGTTGGTCGAGGGCCACAGAAAGAAATTAATAATATCATGAACAACACGCGGAACGTATTCTTAACAAACATGGAAAATACCTATATTTCTCCATACAACTTAGTTTACTCTAAAGACTGCTAATTTCGTAAAAAAATTCAGCTATTAACACCACAGTAATTTTCGTCTTGTAAACTTTCATATGGTCTCAACAACGGAACAATGCACCTTTTAGATTGTTTGCCCAAAAGCACAGATAGGCCATAATGTGTTTGTGTATGTGGCCGCGGCCGCATAAGAAGCTTGCCGACCCCTGCATATGGTATCTTATATTGCCTAGAATACTTTTTGTTTTCAATTAAAACATTAATGTACGAAATGAGGTTCTCACAGCGGCGAAATTGTCATTGTTGTTCTTCCGAGAGTTGTAGTGACGTGTGGACTCGTAGGGTAGATACCAGCGTTTCGGGGAAACATTGCCTCCGTCTTGGTACTGAAGACCAACGTCGAGAAGCATCATGACATGCCTGAGCGCTAGGAATTACGAGTAGAAGTGGACCACGCGAACAAGTTTTCAGAATTCTGCGACCCAGATATTATTCGCTCGTTTCGACTGACGTCTTATCGCCGTTTTTCAGAAAGAAGTGAGCCCTCTTTAGTATGTGGTATTATCAGTGACAACCAGCAACGCGACACGTTAAGTTCTTGGGGGGGGGGGGGGGGGCCAGCAAGACAAAGGTCTAAAACGTTTCATAAATAAGATAATTTAAGTAAGACTTGAGGTTCTCACAGCGGTGAGTATGAAGATTTCCGTCTTCTGGGTTGTTGCGCTGTGTAGTCTGGTCGATGTTAACCATATGATATTCATCGCCCTGATGACGGAGGCAGTATGACCTTTGAAACGTTGGTTAACATCGACCAGACTACACAGCGCAACAACCCAGAAGACGGAAATCTTCAAGATGATTTAATTTTATACAACGTCGATACCAAATTTTATCCCGCCTATAATTGTTCGCCTCATGAATGTTTTGTAAAGAACTTATGGGAATTCTATTTAGAAACAGCCTATTCAAAATTTAACGTGATTAACTGCAGTAGTTCGGACTACTGTAATCAAAATCTGACGTAAAAATATATTTCGGGTATTCGCCATGTTATGTTTCATTTGTAATAGAAGCTGCTTCAAACTTACGTAGGTTTCAGAGATGATTACTAGGCCCATACTAAATCTCGGCTTGTTACACAATGGCACTTGTTTCTACCTCAATAATCGATCACAGCGGCAAAGATGCAACCTTCATCTTTGCCTGAAGCTAACAGATTTGGGATGATAGCATGATTCCAAAACTTAATTTCTCGGAAGTCAGCCAATTTATTCAGAATTCATTAGAGGGACATACTGATACCGCAAGACACCTTTCCTCGTACTACTCAACATGATAAGCAGAGTAAATATAGTTTTTAGCGGTTTCCATAGGATTACAGCTATCTGGTGGGTTTATCTGTTTCTGTGAACAGTGCGAAAGTAACTTCTCCTTTGCACAGCATTGAAGAAATTACAGGAATACGGTTTTTGTAAATTACGTGGAACTTAAATCGAAAAATCAGTTATGAAAATATGAGGTTCTTGCGTCGGCAAAGTGTCGATGTTCGTCCTGTGGTTAGTAACGCCGAATGGACTTACACGTAGATATTAACGTTTCGAGGGGACATGCTGCCTTCAGTACTGAAGACGGAAAACGTAAGTATCTCCGAACCGCTGATATCTACCAACCTACCTAATCTATCTATCGAGTTTCAATTCTTATAAGTTCCAAACATAAACAGCCTATGATACAGACTGTTGTTGTTGTTATTATCATTGTTTTCATTTCCTTTGCGAAGAATTTAATATTTAG